CAGGCCAGAAAATGGAAGGCTGGATGCTGAAATGGACTTGCACAGATCTGCTTTGAGATTATACATAATGCAAACTCTCCCACCGACCTGAGGCCATCAGGGCTCATGTAGAAATATTCCCCCCCTTTTTAAAATTTGTGTGTATGTGTGTGTGTGGGGGGGTACATGCGTGTGTCCATGTGTGCTCATGCCTGGAAGTCATGGTGACAGAGCCACAAGGTATAGATAGGGACTCTGGGGCAAGTGATGCACTGTATTCTTGGTTGCTTGGGGTGGGGCAACAGTGGGAGGGCTTCTGGAGTCCTGGCCCCACTGCTGGACCTCCTGAGGGCACCTGGTGTTTTTGGCCACTGTGTGACACAGAGTGTTGGACTGGATGGGCCTTTGGCCTGATCCAACATTGGCTTCTCTTAGGTTCTTATATGGAGCAGAGGTCCATCAGTAGGTATTAGCCACAAGGGATAGATAGGAACTCTTGGTCAGGGGCAAGTGATGCTCTGTCTTCTTGGTGCTTTGGGGGGGCAACAGTGGGAGGGCTGCTAGCGTCCTGGCCCCACTGGTGGACCTCCTGAGGGCACCTGGTATTTCTGGCCACTGTGTGACAGACAGAGTGTTGGACTGGATGGGCCCTGGGCCTGATCCAACAAGGGCTTCTCTCTTATGTTCTCAATTTCCTTCCTGTATGGAAGAAGAGCGTTGGCTCAGTTCTCCCCATGCCCAGCGGCACTGGGGACTAAGGGCTCCCATTTGCTTGTACCAGGATGAAGAAGCCAACCCCCCCCCCAGCACTACCACTACCCCCTGTATATTGGAAGGCCGTACAACCAGGCTCTGACGTCACCACAATGGCGACGAGATTAGTCATAACAGTCCCCTAGTGGTGATGTGCGGCTAAGCGGGCAGTTTGAATTCAGTTGCTGCAGTGTTGGAGAGAGATTTCAGTTAGAGGAGACTCGTGTTGGCTGTTGACTCTTCCTCTGTAATACTCTGCTAACAACAATTTCTGTCCTTCATTTCTGGATTAAAACTGCCTTTTCACTGTTGTGTTCCTGAATCTTTCATGGAAGAAAGAGGTGGGTCGATTCCCCGAAGCTTCCCTTCCCCCCCCTTCCCCCCATCTTTGCAATAGAGAGACGCTGGGGAGGTGGAGGCTGGGGGGGGGGGAAGCAGTTGCTGCTGAAATGGGGATGAGAAGGAGTCTATATTTTCCTCTATTTTACTCAAAAGAAGTTCCATAGGAGGATTGAATGTTGTACGAGGTGGAGGCTGGGGGGGGGGAAGAAGTTGCTGCTGAAAAAT